TGTTGTAGGCATCTATGCTTGTGCAGAAGACCATGCCTCATGAACAAGATACCGGAAATTTGATCAGGGTCCTTCAGTTCAAGTTCTTCTAGCCATTTGATATTATTTTCACCCTTGTCCTTTGCTACATCACCTTAATAGTCCTTTGAGAATAGATCAATTTGGGCCACCTCCTCATCCTAGCGAAGTCCCCTCAAGCTCATTTGTAGTCAGTGGCTTGAATTTGGGCCAGCATTTGCTCTAGTGGTTATTATGGGTTCATAATATTCACTATTTGCCACACTCTTTGCCACATTGAATGAGATGGTGGCATCATGAAACCACTTACCAATTGTTTTCGAGATGCACTTAATTGTTTTTGCCCATGTGGACTTATTGGAGTCTTGAGCTCTGAGGAGCTTGGATAGAAATGGGTAGGCTCCATAGACAGGGCACAGGCTGTGAAGTTTGCGAAGGCTGAGAACTAGTATGAGGTCATCTCCTCTCAAACATGCTGGAAGACCTGAATAATGTCAGTAAGCATCTCCCTGTGTCAGGTACTATATGACCGAGTTTTGAAGGTACTACATGACTCGGTCCAGCTCCTAAGGAACCCATATCATTATCCCTTCCCTTGCTGTGCTGCTGTTTGTGCATATCATCTAGACTAGACCTCCTTTTATAAACAAATTGGGTCTCAAAATTTTCTCATTGAGAACGTGTGTAACATATTACCGGAATCATGATCGATTTAGTCTAAGAAGACATCTAGAAATATATTTCAAATACACGCAAGTGTGAAAATAATTTTATTAACTGGTTTATTTGAGAGAAAATGTTAGTTTGGAAACTAAGCACGCTAGAGGCTTAAAAATAAAACAAAAACATCTTATTGGCATCATCAAGTTAAAAAGAAGTGATCCCATATGGATGCATGTAAAAAACATTTGTATACTTCATTGTCTGAAAGAATGTTTATTTACTGAATTTTTTTAGAGGAAATGTTAATTTGGGTGTAGTCTAAGCATGCTAGATGGATGAAAAGCCAACCAAAAGCATCTCATTGACAGCATTAAGCTAAACAAAATACCCAAGAAGTGATACCCACCCACATGCATAAAATATTTTTGTATACATTGAATTGTGAAAAATTGTTCATTTAGAGATTCTTTTGAGAGGACATGTAAGCTTTGTAAACAAAGCAAGCATGCTGGAGCATAGAAAACGTACCAAAAACATCTAATTGGCATCAACGAGTTGAAAAAATAAAAAAAATAAAGAAGTAACAATCTAACAATTGATACCCACAGGCAGACATGTAAAATATTCCCATATACATCAAAATAAAAAATGTAAATTTTGTTCGCTGATTTTTTTAATATAGTGCAAAAATAACAAGATCTAGTGATATTTGTCCCAAAAAAGAATCGTTCATATGACTTCAGATTGAAAAATAAAATTGAATCTCGTTTACTCAATGTCTTAAAGCAGAACCCCCTGAAGATGTATCCAGCCGGAAACCAGCTCTCCGATCTCTGTAAATGGATCCTTAAATGGCCAAATCGAAACCCCTAAATTGATCCCACAAAGGTGCAAGGGAGACAATTTGACTATTTAGTATTCAACTTGGTTCTACTTGATTGGAAGATCTCAAAATTTTTGGCCAAAATCCTCAACCAGAATTGCAAATCTTGGATTTTCTAGATTTTGAGGAATTTTGTTTTAGTTGAATCCAATGTTTGATCAGATAGAGGAGCCGAAGTAGCCTCAAGCGCAAATTATCAAAGGCCGAAGGAGCTCAAGTTTACAAGAAAAGGGGGTCAGATTTCCACCCATTGTATTTCCTTTTTTTTTTGCTTTTTTTTTGTGCTTTTTTGTGTGTGTTGGGCTCGGCAAGTCTTGTTGGACTCAGTCCCGACTCGAGGACTCGCGTGAGTCCAGCAGAAAACCACCTAGTCTGGATAGTGACCCATGCGGTTGTATCTATAGTAGGGTTCCCAGAGAGTTGGGGCTAGGGTTGGCAATTGGGACCCATGGACCCGACCCCGGATCTGGTCCAAGTCCAATAGCCTGGACCCAATTCAGGTTTGGGTCTGGGTCCGGGTCCAGCAGAAAACCACCTAGTCTGGATAGTGACCCATTCAGTTCTATCTATAGTAGGGTTCCCAGAGAGTTGGGGCTAGGGTTGGCAATTGGGACACGTGGACTTGATCCCAGATCTGGTCCAAGTTCAATAGCCTGGACCCAATTCAGATTTGGGTCTAGGTCTGGGTCCAGGCAGTCCCTCTTTGTTTTTTGAATTAAATATACATTTCCTTTTTCTTTTTTAATGTAAAAATTGATTTTCAGGTCGGGTCTGGGTCCCCCATAAACAATCCATGACCAGGTCTGGGTCTAGGTTTGGATCCCATAGTATATTTTTGTCTAGGTCCAGGTCTAGCCCAACTCAGACCCGACCCAGCCCGACCCATTGGCTCCCCTAGTTAGGGCCTTCTGAAACTGACAATGTGCCAGTTCCGGGTGAATCACCTGAATCTGACTATCCAAGTTGGCCTTAGCGAGTTTGATGATACTGATTTTTAATGGTCATCTAACCTTTTTCTCATAATCGTGCCTTTTTACTAAGATCCTTTCTACAGTGGCTTTTTTGACTCATTACCCTTCTTGTTGCTCCATCTTTGATGAATCCCCCAAGAAGTCTTTCATTTTGGATGGAGGATACACTGAGGTCTGAGAGCACAAAGTCTTGGCTCATGACTAAAGGAATTATGTTTGGACTTCTTATAGAAAGTTTGCCGTTGTTCTTGAAATTTGTCTTTGAACTCTTCTATGTCCTTACTTTCATCCTGTCCACTGTTCATTCTTTCTCCTGAAAAGATGACATTTTGTCAGCCAACTATCAAGGACCTCTTATTACTTCTCTCAATGAGCTTTCACCCTTCCTATGATTGAATAACATTTGCAATGGGGGCCAACTTCAAAATATCTTGGTTTATATCTTATGTGATTGAGTTTCTCCCATAACCTTTATGTTACTTGGTCATTTAGACTCCAAGCATTGGGACTCAATGTTATCATTCAACTAGTCAACTCATTGTTGGGTGTCCCGTCCCGTGGTGGGAGGGTACCAATGGAATTTGTCCTAGTTTAAATGGGCTAGGTGGGAAAAGTGGAAAAAGGGTGACTTGTTAACCAAGTCACCATCCTACACAAATAGGCTCTTACGTGTGGTTTTTTTGGTATGGGGAAATATTCCTCTTATATCTTTTTAAAAAGTGATAGAGATGGACCCTTTTTTAGGAAGTTATGGGATACACTTCTAAATATATTGTTATCCCTTGACCCATTTACAAAAAGGGGAAAATGTGGAAAACCCTTTTGTTGTTGACTCTTCTTGGAGTATTGGGAAAATACAGGGAGCCTTCTTTTATAAAGAAAAAGAAGAGAAAGAAAGTCATCATTCTCCTAGAGAGAAGAACAAGAGAGAGAACTTTTTCTTTTAGAAAGAGTGAAAGCCTCTGTAAAAAAAAGAAGTCTCTGAGAGATACGAACCTCAGAGAAGAAAACATAGAGAGTGAAGTCTCAAGAAGAAACCAGAGAGCCTAAAAAAAAACCTGTTTTCTTGGATGACCATTGTAACCAGTGAGTTTATAGTGGATTTGATCTCCTTTCTTCTGTGGACGTAGGTTGAAAAGGTGAACCATATAAATCCGATGCCAGTAAGATTTATTTCTTTATTTGCTTTATTGCATGATTTTTCATTCATACATACACGTACATCAGTTTTGGCATAAATTTGTTTCCCAAATCTTGGATCCGCTACGTGCATCCGCATTCGTGCGAGAGGGCTTTAACTGGGTGAGCCCAACAACTCACACTACCAATTTTATGATAGTTTTGGGAGATGGTCTTTCTTTATGTGCTTTCTGCTCTCAGAGGCTGGTGACACTGATGTTCATTGAGGTTAATTTAGAGGGGTTTCCTGAGCCTGTTGTGGACTAATATACTAGTCCGGCCCAATTAGAGTATATATTGAACATCTATGGGTTTTTAGGTAAACATTTTTTACCTGAGACAGCCTAACTTAGATGCAAATAAAATGTTCCTGAACGCCAATGCTCCTCTATTTGACATACATTCAGTCTAGTGTATTCAAATGATGAACTATACTTTTAGGAGAAGGGCAGGGTTGCTACCAATAGAGAAAGGGGGGATGGGTTTGTATTTGGGAAAATTTTATGAATGCATAGTTCGGTGTTCAATAGAGTTTGTGCAATGTAAACTTCAGGTGAATCCTGGAGGAACGTTTTTGGAACATTTTGTAGAGTATGTATTTTCAGGTATGTATAGCTTAAATAAATGCTCTTCGCAATGGGGTATTTTTCTATGATACACACTTTCAAATGTGTCAGGTTCTGTGAAATGCATTTCCATGTGTATGAGAAATTGTAGTAATCTATTTCGTGTTTTGAGACCGTTGGGGCATTAAGGAGTGTTTCTGATGGAATTTTAAATGCTGAAGGTGACAGGCTGAAAGCCAACTGATATTCCACAATGGAGCTCTCATAATGAAAAGTTGGATTTGGATCCCCCAAATCACATATATTTCAGAGGCACTTTCAATTGGATATTTTGTGGATTTTGGTGACCTTTTTACTGCTAAAGCAGAAGCTGCAGAACTTGCAGAACAGTCCCTTGTTATCTTACAAATAATCTCTCATTACTTTCAATTTAGAACTATATTTGTTCACATATTTCTAAAGTTTTAGAATTGAATGTTTGAAAACTTGTTTAGAAAACCAAGTACTGCCATGTAGTTAATAGAACTTCAAGCTATGTATGCACTGACGCACTGTTAAAGTTGAAATCTTTTTTCTCTCTCATCAAGGAAATGCCTCATTTTATATTCCTTATCATCTCATGACAATGCATATGAGTTAATTACTAACACTTTCTTGATACACTCACACATACATTATTGTATAAAGTTCTAACGTTTCTTTGACAATGGCCTCCGATAGCTGTCTATGAGCAGTTGCAGGATTATGAACGAAAGGTCTTTGGATCAAACGAGAGCAATCCAATCACTGTTTTCCCATCACCTGAAATTGCAAGTTCGTTTGGGTTTGGATTTCAAGCACCGAGTGCTGACCAAGTTTTGTTCCCGAAATTCAATGTACCGTCCTCAACTTCAATCTTTGATAGTGGCAGTTTAAACATGCCTCCACAGTCGTTCACTTTTGCAGCTGGGAAAGATGAGAAGGTACCACACAACCCATTTGGTGTTACCCCTCCAAATGGTGCCAATGCTCCCATGGATAGCTCTTAATGGGCCACTGTTAAGATGAGATATCTAAAGTGGTAGGGAACTTTAAATGCCTTTTCGGTTATTCCAAGAAGATCTCCAACATTTCGAGCTATGGAAGAAAGGGCAAAAGAAAGAATTAGCATGGGAAGATAGAGAAGAAAAAGGAATTATTCAAGCTTTTGCAATCCTTCCAGTCTTGTGATTGGTTTTTGTCGTCAATTGATATGAAGACATGTCTTTGTCGGTTGAATGGTGATGTCGGGTTTATTTGTAGAGCTGTTGCTTTCACTATCATAATAGCTCTCTTGAAGTTTAAGAAAATATAGTACCGATATACATTGAATTATTTTGTTCTTTACCATGTTGTAACTTTGTGCTCAACAGATGTAGATATTTTTTGTGGAGAATTATGGTCAGTAGTAATGTTTCATATATGAGGTGATGTATGAGAAACTTTGTTAGTTGTATACTGGATAAATGAATATTTGATGAGATTTGAACTGTTCCCAAGTAACCCCTGATACTTGCTTGTACTTCATAGAAAATCTAAAATTAAACACATCATCTCGTATGGACATTAAAATGAAACTGTCCATGTGATATTGGTTATAATTTATTTGATTTCTCATGGACTTTCAAGGGGAACCTGATGGTAATATTGACTGTTAAAAAAATTTCGACTTCGCATGGGCTATCATTGGGAACCTGATGGTCCCTCTGTAATCTTTAGATGCTAAAGATGTCATGTGTGAGTATGTCCTAGTCTATTCACGTAGCAAATAGTTCTCAAACAGAATATGGTTCGGACTCTACTATAGGAGACGTGCTTCTAGATCGATGGCTTGGTTGTTAACTTATTACCATTGGCCAGGTGGTAGAGCAGACCCTGCATCTTCAATAGGTCATGGGTTCTAATCCTTCGGGAAAGGGGTGGGGATTGTGGTGGTAGCAACCCCACATTCTAATCACACCATATGATGGTTTTCATTCTCATTGACACTACCATGCTAACACTTTGAAAACACTATCTCTTAAACTATTTGAAAAACAAAAGTATTTTTAAACTATTTGAAAAACAAAAGTATTTGAAAAACAAGTAGGTAGGGGCTATTTTTCCTACTGAATTATTCAAAAATAAATAAATAAATAAATAAAAACTATCACTAAAATTTTTTAAAAACTACCATTAGACTCACTTGTCTCCTCGCTCCTCTCTTTTTTGCATTTTTATCCTTAAAAAGTATTATTAGTTAAAAACAATTATCCTGTTCGGCTCCTTTCTCTCCCTACTCTTCCTCTTTCATATTAATCACCATCACCTGTCACACATCACTCCGGACAATCTTCCCTCTCCTCTCACTCTATTTCTCAATTTGCCCGATGAGCGGCTGGGCTACAATAGGGCTGAGCCAGGGCCAACCATGTTTAGGCCATCTTTTTTGCTTTATTTTTTTCCTTTGGCCCTGACAGGGCCAGGGCTAAGCCTAGAGTAGGACTCCCCTATAAGGATCAGGGCCAAGCTAGGGCTAGGACTTGCCCAGGACCGGCTCGTTGCAAATCGTATCAATGGTAGAAGTTCTACTACTAAAAAGGAATTTATGAGGAAAGGAATTTATATGAAGAATGTCAGTAATACCCCTGATTCTTCTTCTCTCCTTTGTGATCCTCTCGCCACTTACTTTTTTCAAAAGCCTCGATTTCTTTTCTACGAGACAAATTAGAGGCTGAGCTTTTCTTGCGCTGGGAAAATCTAAAAGAAAAGGTGAAGATTTTGGGCTTGACCTGTGTTGTTATTTTGGTTCAGGGTTGAGAGGTTCTTTCTCCTCAACAAATTTATCAATAAGGATTGTGACTTCAAGTCATAGATAATTGAGAAAAGGAGACGCTCTTCCCCTCTCCTCTACACCCTAGTAGTTGAGTCGTTCAGTCTAATGATTGAGAGTGCTACTAATGTAGGCTAGACAGCGACGCTGCCCTGTTCTCAAAATTGCCCCATCATCTCACACTTACAGTATTGATGGTATGTTATTTATAGAAGTTTCAATGGAGTAAGTTCAACATTTATGACCTTTCGTGAAGCATTATACCCTAGTCTTAAGGGCCAAAGTTAATGTGGAAAAGACCAAAACTTTTGGAGAATTGTGAGGAGACAGAAATTTAGGGGTGAGCACAATGGATGGGTTGCAGTGTGGATAAACTGCCAATTACATATTTGGGCATTTCACTTATTGATGGAAAATTGCCTAGAGTAGCCTGATCGCAATTGTTGATCGGTTTCATAACAAATTGGATGGGTGGAACACTAGATACCTCTCCTTTTGTTTCTAGCGGGGATTAGGGGGGATTATGATGGTTAAGACAATGTTCTCGAACTTTTTGATATACCATTCCTATGCCATGCTCATGCAGGCCTTATGAAACAATTGGAATGTCTTATGAGAAACTTGCATTGGAGTGGGAAGGTAGAATAGAAAAAATACAACTTAGGAAGGTGGTCCCAAGTATACTTCCCCAAAAAATATGGAGCCATGGAGGTTTTAGAGTACGTAAGTTGAAACACGTTGACGATGCCCTTCTCACAAAACGGTGGTGGAAGATTACTCAAGGACCATAGTAGCTATGAAAATCAATAATTTTCAGCAAGTATGGAAAGGATGAATCCGAATGGCTGCCAAGGAAGTTAACTAATGGTGCATCAGCCTTGGTGGTATGGAAAGGAATTAACACTGTCATTACTTGTTCATCTCCTACAATCAGATCTCCATTGAAAATGGTGCCAAAACAATATTTTGGACATCTAAATTGATTAGTAATTGTTGCCTCTAAGCTCAGTTCCCGGAACTGTATAGAAGCATTGTGAACAAAGGCATGGCGTTAAGGAAATAGCTAGGTGGGATGCAAGAAATGTAGTGTGAGACTTTAAGACATCAATAGATGAGGGTGGACACAGAAGTTGAGGAACACTTAGAAAGCTTTATGACTTGTTTCTATTTTTCAAGGAGGAAGGATAGGCTTGTGTGGGAACAGAACCCAAATGGAGAATTATCTGTTAGATTTATTTATACTCAGATTAGTCGAGACAGATATTTTAACACTAATCGTGGCTTGGCTAGAATCTGGTCCTTCAAGATTCCACACAGGGTTAGAGCCTTTTTATGGTTGCTTGGAAATGATAGAGCATTACCAATTGAACAATTGCAGATGAGGGGAATGATTCTCACTAATATATGCCTCATCTGCAAGGCAAATGCAAAACATATGCTCATATATTTCTACACTGCCCTTTTTTTAGAAGACCATGGAAATGGATGATGGGAAAGTCACTTTGGCATGGGGTGTTGCCATTATCAGTACATCAGCTAGTTGAAAGTTTTATGGCATGCCCTTTCACTGCAAGAGGTAGGATGGTACGGATTATCTCAGCAGTGTGTTAGCAACTATGGAAGGAAGGAAACTTAAGGACTTTTAAAGGAAGATGCCGAAATATATCACAATGACAATCCTCAATAATGACATCCATCATCCAATGGGACAATGCACAACATGAATTTAAAGAGGTACCGAAGAAGTACTTCTTTAGCAAATACAAAGATTGCTCATCTTCAAGAGAGTTAGGGTTATAAAACCTGTGGCAGCGACCACCAGAGGAATGGGTCAAAGTCAATTTTGATGGAAGCGTAACGAATAATGGAGAATGGGTAGGCTTTGGATGACTTATATGGGACAATGATGGAACTATTATAGGGTCTTACCAAGGAACGTTGCACCCTTGTGGGGCTATTGAAGTTGAATTATGAGCCCTTATGTACAGAGTAGCTCGGCTACAACAACACCACACTCAAGTCATCATTGAAGGAGATTCTACCAAGTGCAAATATCCCCAGAAAACTCCATGGGCGAGGGCTACTATTATGGATGAGATTTAACACTTACTCCATGGGAAAGTAGTTCTCTTTAGCCAATTAAATAGAGAAAAGAACCAACAAACGATTGCTTTGGCGAAGGAGGCCACAGTATCTTATTTTATTGTTCTTACTCGTCTTTCGCCATTTACTTGTTTTTCATTTTATTTTCTATAACTGTACTATTTTATTCTCTTAATGAAGTTTTATTCAATGTTCAAAAAGGAAAACGAAGAAAGGGGACCCTCTTGGTTGATATATAGAAGTTTCAATGAAGCAGGTTCAATATTTATGGCTTTTCTTGAAGCATTACACCCTAGTCTCAAGGGCCAAAGTTAATGTGGAAAAGACCAAAACGTTTTTAGAATTGTGAGGAGACAGAAGTCTAAGGATGAGCACAATGGATGGGTTGCGATATGGATAAGCTATCAATTACATATTTGGGCATTCCACTTATTGATGGAAAATTTCCTAGAGTAGCATGGACCCCATTTAATGATCGGTTTCATAGCAAATTGGATGGGTGGAACACCAAATACCTCTCCTTTTGTTTCTAAGGGGGATTAGGATGCTTAAGGCAATGTTTTCGAACCTTCTGATATACTACTCCTATACTGTGCTCCTGTAGGCCTTATGAAACAATTCGAATGTCTTATGAGAAACTTCCTTTGGAGTGGGAAGGTGGAATAGAAAAAATACAACTTAGTAAGGTGGTCCTAAGTATGCTTACCCAAAAAATATGGAATCATGGAGGTCTTGGAGTATGCAAGTTGAAACAAATTGACGAGGCCCTTCTCATAAAATGGTGGTGGAGGATTGCTCAAGAACCATCGTAGCTATGGAAATCAATGTTTTCAGCAACTAAGGATGAGTCCGAATGGCTGCCAAGGAAGTTACCTAATGGGTGCATCAGTCATGGTGGTATGGAAAAGATATAACTTTTTCATAAATGTGTTCATCTCCTACAGTCAAATCTCCTTTGGAAATGGTTCCAAACCAAAATTTTGGACATATAAATTGATTAGCAACTGTTGCCTCCAAGAGTAATTTCTGAAACTGTCTAGAAGCGTTGTGAACAAAGGCATGGCATCAAGGAAATAGCTAGGCACGAAGCAAGAAATGTAGTGCGGGACTTTAAGACTTCAATATAGGAGGGTGGACACAGAAGTTGAGGAACACTTAGAATGCTTTATGACTGGTTTCTATTTCCCAAGGAGGAAGGATAGGCTTGTGTGAGAGCAGAACCCAAATGGGGAATTCTTTGTTAGATCTCTTTATACTCAGATTAATCGAGGCAAATATTTCAACACTAATTGTGGCTTGGTTAGAATCTAATCCTTCAAGATTTCGCACAGGGTTAGAGCCTTTCTATAGCTGCTTGGACATGATAGAACATTACCAATTGAACAATTGCAGAAGAGGGGAATGATTTTCACTAACATATGCCTCCTATGCAAGGCAAATGCAAAACATATGCTCATATATTCCTACACTCCCCTTTTTTTAGAAGACCTTGGAAATGGAAGATAGGAAAGCCACTTTGGCAATAGGTGTTGCCATCATCAGTGCAACTGTTGGTTGAAAGTTTTATGGCATGCCCTTTCA